GGATGTAGAACACACACTCACTCGAGTGAACTCTTACCCCTCTTGCGCTGTGACCGATGTGATGCTCATTATCACGTGACCTGTCTGCAGAATCCGCCAAGTAGTCTGGGACACGTCTGGTTTTGTCCGCTTTGTAGCGCTTTGATCCGCGGTCCCGGGCCAGTTGATGGAATCGTGAACAGAGATGTTACATTTGAGGGTGTCCGCCACACGGTCGAGAGTCTTCTCGTCCCTGGACGCAATACGCTTCTAGCAACGCCTCATGTGGTCATTCAGAGCCAGCTTGGCGAATTGCATCAACTTGTATTTGATGAGTTTGCTATTAGAGCTGAGATGCCACGTCCATCCCCATCTCCGGTGGGTCACATTGAAAATGGTGGCTGGGCGTTACCAGGAGGCAAGATACCATACAAGCTAGACCCAGCTTTTTCTGAGCATGCAGCCAACGCCGTAGGCGAAGCTAACGACTTGAGTGTATTTATACGTGCGATTGGGGCCCTTTCCAATGACGACCATTTGAATCAAAATGATTGGGTAGATGTATTAGGCGCCTTGGTTGTGTGCGCATCGTCCGCCGTGGAGACGAGTTTGTGCCTTTCTGATCATTTAGCTGATAAGAAGGTCGATACATTGGATGGGCTCAGGCCTGATCCGGACAGCGACAAATCATGTCTCGTTGATTCATTTCCCGAAGTTTGTCCATCGATCGAGATTCCCATAGCTGGTAGTCAAAGAAAAAAGCGCGAATTGCTCTTGGTGGCTGGAGTGGTCCAAGATGCGGTAGCATTTGTTAAACTGGGTTTCACAAACATGGAAGGAACGAACGGACAACTTCAGCTCAACGCTCACCGTGGAATTATGCAGGATTTGATATGTGTCGGTGGTTCGTGTTCATCAAGTAATTCTCTTGTGAACCCTGCCACACAAAATGGAACATGCGTGTGGTGTGGTGGCGATTATGATTACTTGCGCAGTTCATTCTTGCCAGCACGACATGAAGTGAGAACAGTACCTATTTTTGGTGCGACTTCTCGCCATAATTGCTTACCTGGTTCTCGGAGCTGGCCTGGCGCTCGAACACTGGCTGGATTGGCTCTCTCCCATGAGTTCTGCTCCAACTGTTTGACTGGGCAGCGTGCAGGGACATTGAGTCGAAAACGACAGCGAATGCTAATGACATACAAAGAAAAACAAATGTTTGCAGGCAGGGGACGCACACAACCTCTAGGCACAGATAAATATGGGCGAGTCTACTGGTATTTCACACAGCACCCAAATTTGATAAGTGTTCGGTGGGCTCCTGTATCCCTAGAAGAACTTAAGCCGAAGTTGTTCAACAAATTTACATGGGTGTGCTTTTGCACAATTTCTTCGATTGCGCAGCTGATTTCATATCTAGTAAAGCTTTGTGATGCTCAATACGACTTGCTCCTTGACGCAATCATGCTAGCTTTCCCCGAGGCATCAGAACTCGTGGCTCTTAGTTCCGACTATCTATACTCAGATTGTACATACAACCGACATGTATGGTCCAAATTTGAAACCATAGCTGTGGTAACTGAATTACATGATTCAGCCAGATCCCAGCAGCCTCAGTTTCAGATGAATGAGTGCGTGCTGGTCCGCGTGGGTCAATTGGTCTGGAGTGCTACTGTGTTGAGCATAGCAATCACCAAACTGCACGACACTGTCTACCACATACGATATAGACAGTGGATCAAATCTTTTGATGACTGGCTAGGGTACGAATGTTTTGTGCTGAATTCAAACATCATTAACAAGGTACAAAGTAGTTTGTTTGAAGATGATCTGGTTCCTTGCCTCGCTCGCAAGTCCGGATTTTCACTAAATCAATTGAATCTAATCGCCTCCGATTTCACTGGTTCCTCGTGGGTGGCATCCTGTCAAACTTCGAGTTTTGATGGTGAAGACTGCAAAACGGGAGACCAAAAGCGTTTGATTCGTGCAGCTCTGTTGACTATTTTTGCAGCTCTGCCTGCAGGTTCACTGACTCCAAAACGTAGTGCTCTGCTCCAGATGCGGGCTCTCTCTATCAGATGCGCTAGCAGTGCAGTTGAACTGACCGAGTTGGTCCTCGGACTCGAGGACTCATTGAATAAATCATACCTAAGATCTTCTTGGAGTACCATCCGCGCTTGCTTACCTACGCGAACCTATTTTCTCAAGCACGCCTCTCTTACTCAGGTGGCACTCCTTCTATCAGTGTTGGATCGTGGCATTATCTACGATCAATCCCAATTACAAGCCTTCTCCCTGGGTGAAAAGACCGGATTGGATAAAGTATGATTTATAGGTTTCGTGATATTTTTTTTAGCAATCGGGAAACCATCTAGATGGTTATACCAGTAGTGATACTATCGTATGTTGCCGTTCAAAAGATCGCTCGTCATCGACCCCGCCGCGTCCAACGCAGCAGGTTCCTTGGGGGAGCCCGAAATCGTTGAGTCCACCGTGCCGAGCTCTGGATGTCCTGCACTGTCCTCGCCACTGGAGATGGTCTCGATCCGTTGCATACCACCATGGGGTCAGGTCCGGATCTGGGGCTGCCTCTCTGGGAACTCGAGCCGACCGAGGTCGGGTATGATGGTTTCCGCATGGTCGCTGTAAATGGGCTGGATCCGTGTCGTGGCCGCTTGTCGTGG